CCCACCTTATCCATGAAAGCCAGTTGGGTGACTTTGGGCCAATCACCGGGAGACAGGGAGTTCTAGTCCATCCATGAATGCCAGCTGGGTGACTTTGGGCCAATCACCAGGAGACAGGGAGTTCTAGTACCACCTTATCCATGAAAGCTGGTTGGGTGATTTTGGGTCAATCATCAGGAGACTGGGAGTTCTAGTCCCACCTTATCCATGAAAGCCAGTTGGGTGACTTTGGGCCAATCACTAGGAGATTGGGAGTTCTAGTCCTGACCTACGCATGAATGCCAGCTGGGTGACTTTGGGCCAATCACCGGGAGGCAGTGAGTTCTAGTCCCGCCTTATCCACGCGACATGGAGGCCGGTGCGTTGGATATGTCCACCACCTTGAATTTATTTGCAAAATAATGAAGATGGGAAATGAGAGATCTCAGTGGGGCGGGCGGCCTGAAGCGACCCTGATTTGCCGTCCTTCCGCCCAGGTTCACAGCGGACGTCCGGTCGGTGCTCAGCCGCAACCTGCATCAACATCGCCTTTGGTGACGGCGGCTCCTCCTTTCTTCAGGGTTCAGCCACAACCTCTGCCTTATCCCGCCATCGTGACCCGCCCCTCTCGCCACAGGCGCCGCGGCCGACAAAACGCCTTCAGACTCAGCCGGCAGGGGGATGTGGCCCGCGGAGGGGGACGACTCCTGTTTTGGCCTCACCCCACGGCCGTCGGCCGCCCTCTCGCGCCCCCCGTCCCTCCGTGGACTGGCAGTGACTCAGCCGGGCAGAGGCGGGGAGAGGGCCGCATGGCGTGGCACGACACTGGCGGTCCCGGGATGCACAAGAAAGGGGGGGGAAAACTGCGCCAGCCGCCGAGAGCAATGCTTTGGACAGACATTTTTCGGGGAAGGAGGCTGTGTTCCTCAGCGGGGAGACCCTGTGGTTTTCGTTTCTTCCCGTTCTCGGATCAATCCTCGGATAAAGTGTGGGGAGGGGGCCGCTTCATCAGAGTGACTGGCAAAGTCCGGCTTTTTTTTCCGAGGGTCCTTCCGCCCTCCCCCCCCCACCCCTCCCCGCCCTCCCCTCTTTGGCGGAAGCGGGTTGGCCCTTCCGCCCGGATCGGTGTGACGGACGGCCTCCCCTCTCCCTCGTGCCAGGATGGCTTGGTTTTAATTTTATTTCTCGGACTTCTGGGACGGGCAGGGGTCTCGAAGGAGGAGATGCGATTCAGGCTTGAACTGAGGTGGAAAAAGAGAAAAAAAAAAAGAAAGAAAGAAAACACCGAAACTGTCTCGTGGCCGTTCTTCTTGCCCGGGAGGGAGTTGACGGAACGTGGGCAGGGCAAGGCTGGCCGGCAGCGGTTTCCCTTTACAGGTGGTCCTCGGCTGAACGACAGTTCACTTAGTGACCAAAGGTCAATGAAAAAAAAAGAGAGAGAGAGAGGCATAAAAGACCATGTTTCACCCTTCCGGCATTCCCCGCAGTCACGTGGCTAACTGGCACGTACTTGTGACGGTTGGCGTGTCGCTGGGGTCGTGGTGATCCCCTTTTTGCGACCGGGTTCGCTTAACAACCGCGCGACTGACTTACAACATGGGGGAAGCGATTGGTTTCACAACTTTGGCAAGGACGGTCGTAAAACGGGGGTGCCAAATCGACACCTGTCCTCACTTAGCGACCGAAATGTCAGGCTGTTGTGGCCGTAAGTCGAGGACTAGCTGTATTCCTATCCCTGAGGTTGTGTGTGTGTGTGTGTGTGTGTGTGTGTGTGTGTGTGTGTGTGTAAAAAAGGGACTGTGTGTTGTGTCTTGCACCCGGAGCCGGTGTGTTACTTCCCCCAAATCCTGGATGTTTATAAACCACAATCTCTTGTTTGTTGTGACCCAAGATTGTGGTTTACACACATTGCAAAAGGGGGAGGGGGCTGCCCATGCCTGGGACCCCCCTTAACATCCCCAATAGCGACCCTTCCCCATGCCCCAGCAGCGCCTGCGCGGCTTTGAAGCCGCTGGGGACTACAACGCCCATCCCAACCGGGCAGCAGGGGCGTTGTAGTCCGCCTCGGGCGCCCATCCGCACCACGTGATCACGCGCCTTGGTTGGGCGAGACCGCCAGAGCCACGTGACCATTCCTCTCCGGTGACGTCAGTCACATGACGGGACGTTGCACTGCCCCACCCCCTTCGCCGTGTCCTTCCGCGCCTCAGCGGAATTCGCCTTTGAGAGGGTTTATTTTTTGTGGGAGGGGGCCGCTCCCTTCGTACCCCCATCCTCTTTTGCCTTCGAGCCCCCTCTCCCTCCTGTTTCCCGTTCGAGCCCCCGTTTTCCCCCTCGGCGGGCCGGGGCACTACTTTGTTTTGGTATCACGCAAGCCACGCACAGCGGGTGACGTCACGCGTCTGCGGAGGCGGGGCCTCGGCAAAGTTGGAAGAAAAACGGCTTTCCTCCCGAAGAACCCGGGCCGGCGTCGTCGCCAACAGCCCTTCCGAGGATCCCTCGCGACACCCGAACCACGAAACAACGGCGGCGGCGCCCGTTGGAGCCCGGAGAAGCATTCGGTGGGCGTGTCCTCGGCCGGGCCGGGACTCCTTTTTCCCCGCCCGGCCCCCCTTCGGATCGCTGCGCCGCGTCGGTAACGCGCATGCGCGCTGCTTGGGTGCAGCGGCCCTTCCTCGGTCCGCCGCGTCGCTTCCTCCTCCGCCCGTCGCCTCAGCCGCCATGAAGTTCGTCTACAAGGAGGAGCACCCCTTCGAGAAGCGCCGCTCCGAGGGCGAGAAGATCCGCAAGAAGTACCCGGACAGGGTCCCGGTGAGGTCTCTAGAGCCGCCCCGCCCCCCTCCCGGGGTCTCTCTGTGTGTGTGGGGGGAGGGGCGTCCGGACTTTCCCGGACGGGGCTTCCCCTCCCCCACCCCCTCTTTTCACCCCTCCCCCCCCTCTTTTTCCTCCGGCAGGTCATCGTGGAAAAAGCCCCCAAGGCCCGAATAGGGGACCTGGATAAGAAGAAGTACCTGGTGCCCTCCGACCTCACAGGTGAGACCCCCCCCTCCCGGACAGGTGAGGGGGAGGGGGGGGAGGAAAGATGGATGGTGGGGGGAGGGGAGAGCTTATTCATGGGGATTTCCCCCTCCCCGGAGGCCATGGGTGCCCCCCCTCCCTTTTAAGGGTCTCTCTTTCCCCCCCCCTCCTATTTTGGCTCTTCTCTCCTCTGTGACTGGCTCTCCTCTTGGTGCCCTTTCCCAGTGGGCCAGTTTTACTTCCTCATCCGGAAAAGGATCCACCTGCGGGCCGAGGACGCCCTTTTCTTCTTCGTCAACAACGTCATCCCCCCCCCCAGTGCCACCATGGGGCAGCTCTACCAGGTGGGTCTTTCCCCCCTCCCTTTCTTTCTCCTCCAAAAAACATTTATATATATATATACATGTATATATAAAAAATGTATATCTTTTTATATATCTTTTTATATATAAATAAGATAATATAAACATAATATAATATAAATTGTTTTTATATAACTGTGTAATATATATATACACATATATCTGTGTTTTTTCCAATATTTATTGGAAATATTTATTTTCCAATATATATATATATATTGGAAAAAACACAGATATATGTATTATATATATATATATATACACAGTTATATAAAAACAATTTATATTATATTTATATTATCTTATTTATATATATAAAAAGATATATTTAATATATATAAAAAAGATATATAAAACTTGCATAGACAAATATGTATGTATGTATATATAATGAATATATATATAGCCTCAAAGAGCCTGATAGTACAGTGGACTAAAGCACTGTTATTAACACCAGCTGTCTGCAATTACTGCAAGTTCAAATCTCCCCAGGCTCAAGGTTGACTCAGCCTTCCATCCTTTGAAAGGTAGGTAAAATGAGGACCTGGTTATGGGGGCAATAAGCTGACTTTGTATAAAAATATACAAAAGTATGAAGGCTATTGCTTAACGCATTGTAAGCTGCCCTGAGTCTCGGAGAAGGGTGCATATAAATTAAAGCAAAAAAAAAAAAAAAAGTTTTCGTCGGCCTCAGTAAACAACAAACTGGCCAAAGGGTTTCAAAGCCCCCCCCGCCCCCCCAAAAAAAAATTCTGGAGAATTTTTTTTTTTTAAAAAGCCTTCGGAGGAGCCTTTCAACCTCCTACCTGGGTTGAAGTCCCGCCCTCCTGTCAATCTTCCTGCTAAAATTTATTCCGATTTATATTTTTTTATTTATTAGGCCGAGGGCGGTTAGTAAGATTGGCAAGGAATTTGTTGCCTAATAGAAATAATAAGGAAAACTCAAGTGTACTTCCAAATCTACTAGTACTGCTAATTTAATTATTTTTATTCATTAAATATGAAATTCAGTCAACTGAACATTCAAAAATGCATCACAAATACCACTGACTGGTGCTAATGGGTGATACAGGTTGCTGCCAGTGTCCTATTATTATTATTTATTCATTAAATATGAAACTCGGTCAACTGAATATTTTAAAAACGTATCATAAATACCATTGACTGGTGCTAATGGTTGATACGAGTTGCAGCTGGTATTTATGATACATTTTTAAATCTTCAGTTGACCGAGTTTCATGTTTAATGAATAAAAGAGGATGATGATTATTAAAAGTGTGCAGCCAATAAAAAAAGTAAAAAATTATAAAAGGGGTAAATAACACATTGCGATATTTTACTGTTTTGTTCTTGCTGGATCGATTTTTGTGGAGACGTATAAAATTTCCCAATAAAATAAAATCTTAAATGTGGGTGGGGAGAAGGGTTGATGGGAGCTGTAGTCTTTGGGACTGAGAGAGTAGGGGGCAGATTGTGGGGATGGAGGGTTCTGGGGGGGCTTCAGACCATCCCTCAACCCTGCTATTCACATAGGTGGTTTGTTTGGGGGGGGCACATTTGACTTCCTAAAGATAAGACTGTGTAAATTTTACAACTGTGCCTTGAACTGCGATAGTTGGGTGGCTTGATGTGCGATCTCCCCCTCCCCCCTTAAAGTGCTTTGATCTAACAGGCTCTCCCCCCTCCCCATTGCAGGAACATCATGAGGAAGATTTCTTCCTTTATATTGCCTACAGCGACGAGAGCGTCTATGGCAGCATGTAAGACCCCCGAGTCCACCGGCTGCCACCAAGGGGCACCTGCCCCTGAAGGGACCTGCACTTTCTGTTGTTACTTGTTGTTGATTTTATGTTAAAAAGGTTTTTTGTTTTTGTTTTTTTTTTTGCTCCAGGAAAATGGAGGGTCCTCTTTCTCTCTTTCCCCCCCCCCCCAAACCCCTTTTAATTTCTGGCTGTGAATCTTAACTCTCTTCCTCTTTTAATTCCTCCCTCCCTTCTTTGGCTTCGCTCTGGGTTTTCTTTTGAGGTGGTTGTGGCTAAAATTAAATACCTCTCCCTTGCAATTTCTCCCTCCGTGCTTTCTTTCCTTCCTCCTTCCTTTTTTTTTTTTTCTGTTGAAAAGGTAGACCTGGAATTTCTCTCCCAAAGCGACAAAAAAAACCCCAACCCTACCCTTTTTGGTTTTTCTGATTTCCCCCCCCCTTTGCCACGCGCCCTGAGTTTGCTTTCATCAGGGAGATGCGTCGTCCGGCAGACTCCTTGTAACCAGAGTTTCGGGGATGGGATGGGAAATGAATGCTAATTAAAAAAAAAAAAGATATATAAGGAAACCGTGTCAGACTCTGGAGAATTTTTATTGTCGCGGTTTTTAATACATCAGGGGACATTGCAAAAATCTGGGGCCCTGAATCTGGGACAGCGGAGTTAAATAACGGGTGGAGGGAGGGAAGAAGAATCTCTGGTCCAGCGTTTCTCAACCATTGTGACTCTCGGAATTCCCCCCACATTCTCTTCCAGCCCTAGAAGGGGATGCGGTGGTGGGCTCAATCCTTAACTAGCCGAGGAATAACAACCTTCCGGAAATCAAGAGGGGCCGATCACACCTTTTGTAAGTGGCGGGCTGTTAATTAAAAAAAAAGTGAGTTAACGCAACCAGGTTCCCTCCTAAACTATCCTGGATCATGTAGTAGCAGGCGGAACAAAGGGCGGGGGAAAGGCAGCCAGCAGAGGTAGGAAGTCATCTTGGTGGGTGGGGGGTTTTTAGTGCGGAAGGCACGCAGGTTTGATTGGCAGCTAAAGGACCCTCAGGACTTGCATTGCTCAGGGGTCGGGGGCCTCCCCAAACTTGGCAACTTTTGGATTCTTTGCTTTACTCTCTTGTGATCCCTTCCTCTGTAATCTCACCACTCTAGGAGATAGGAAGGAGGAGGGAGAAACCAGGCATGTTTTGAATGGGGAATTCCTGGAGTTGGAAGCCCGCAAGTCTTGGAAGTTGCCAAGTATGGAGAGACTCTCCCCCCCCCCTCCTATTCTGGGTCAAGGAATTGTAATGGCCCCTTAAGCAAGTCTGATCCCCGTTTCTGGACCTTCGTGCCATCCTTGTTTGGCTGGAGACCTAGGTGGGTCTCTTGTGACCGTCCTCTCCACAGCAAGCCTCAACCCAGCCCTTGAATGGTGGTTTTGTCTTAAAAACGCGAGTCCTGAGGGCTGCAGAGCCACTTGGCTGCATTCACACGACACGCGTGTCCTGGATGGTTAATTCCCACTCGCCCTCGCCAGACCTCCGTCGGAGGCAGCTCCTGAGCACGTCAAGAAAGCCGCTCGCCCCCTCCCAAAAAAAAAAAAATCCGGGGGAGCCTCCAAGGTTTGTTTATTGTTTCCCTTCGCAAAAAGGAGAGCCCGGGTCGATCGCGTGGCTCCTCCTCGACTTGGGACTACAACCCCCAAGATCCTCTCGCGCGCTCGCTCTCTCTCCGCGCCTTTAAGAGGACGGGAGGGCCCGAGGTGACCACATTACCCGGCGTGCCTCGCGAATAGGCGCGAGCGTGGGGGGGATTTCCAGAACCGCGCAGGCGCGGCTCGCGCGGCCCGCCGGGAGCCGTAGTTTCCGAGCACTCCCTTGCCCGGCGGGACAGCGTTGCGGCTGGCGAGACTCCACCTCCCGAGATGCACCGCGGCGGGGCATGAGCGAGGGGAGGGGCGGCCGCTCCGAGCTTGCGGGAGGGAGGAGGGAGGGAGGGGAGGAGGAGGAGGAGGGAGGAGGGCGGCGGCGGCGGCACCGGGCGAGGCGGCGAGAGCAGCGGCGGCGGCGGCGGCTTTGCGAGTCCCAGGGCAGGGGCCGGCCATGGCGGAGCCGAGCCCCGAAGGTAGGCGAGAGACCAGCCAGTCTGGGGGGAGAGGGGGGGGTGGGAAACGAGAGGGGGGGGCTGGGGGCGCGGGGACCCCCCCCCTCTCCGGTATGGGCCACCGGAGGGAGGGAGGGAGGGGGGGGCCGTTGGAGCCAGTCGAGAAGGGAGGGGGGGCAAAGTTAAGAGGGGGGGGGTCGGAGAACCCGCTTCTCCCCCGGGGTGGGGGGCTTTCTACAGGGAGGAGGGAAGCCCCCTCCCCTCTTTCAACCGGGGGAGGAGGGAGGGGGGGTTGGGGTCTCCTGCCAGCCTTCCCCAAAAAGGGGGGGGAAGGGCTGGGGAGGGGAGGGGAGGGGGGGGTTCAGCGGCCCCTCCCCGCAATGTTGGGTGGGTGGGTGGTCGCGGGGACCCCCGGATGGCTTCCTCCCTCGGGTGGGTGTAATGTGAGGGGGAGGGGAAGGCGAAGGGGAAAACGGGGGGGGTCTCTCTTCTTCTCCCTCCGCTTTGTGCGGCGCTTTCTCTCTCCCCTCCCTCCCTTCCCTTCTTCCTCCCTCCTTCCTTCCCTCGCTCGGGGTGGGGGCGTCGAGAGAGAGAGAGAAAGAGGCCTCTCCTTTCAACAGCCCCCCCCCACTCACCACGAGCCCCCTCCTCTCTTTTTTTTTGTCTCTTCTCCCCCCTCCCCTTTTTTCCAGATCCCCCTCCGAGCCTCAAAGCCGAGACGCAGGTAAGAGGAGAAGAAGAAGAAGAAACGGGTGGGGGGGGGGAGAGTTGAGAGGAGGGGGAGGAAGAAAAGTTTCTGGGCTGGGGAAAAAGAGGGGGGGGTCTCCCTTCCGCGCGGGGGGGTGGTGTGGAGGGAGAAGGAGGGAGGGGAAAAGGGGGGTGGGCTCCCTCCTCCTTCTGTCCCCCCCCCCCCAATCCAGGCGCTGCTTGCAACATCGCCCCATGTGCTCCGGATGGGAAGCGTGCCCCCACCCACCCGCCCGCCTATTTGGGGCTGGGGTGCAAAATGGGGAAGGGGGTGTGCATTTGCAATGCATTCCCCCTCCCTCTTTTTTTCCCCCCCTCTCCATCCGAGACCCCCTGAAAGAAAGGGGGGAAAGCGGAGGCCTTTTTTTTTCCTGCACGCGAGTCCCCGTTTAACGTCCGTTTCTCCTTCTCCCCCCCCAACGCCCTCTCTCCCACCCCCCAAAAAATTATTCTTACCAGCCTCCGGAGAAGCGGCAACGTACCATCGAGGACTTCAACAAATTCTGCAGCTTCGTCCTGGCTTACGCCGGCTACATCCCCTCCTCCAAAGAGGTGAGTGATTGGGAGGGTGGGCTTCTTTTTTTGGGGGGGGGGAAGAAAAGAAAGAGATCGCCCCTTCCCCTAAATCGCCTCTTTCCCCCCTCGAAGTGGAAGCAATGCTTAAATAGAGGGACTTATTTCCACCACCACCCCAAAAAAAAAAATCCCGCATGGCTACTTTCTACGGGGAGGGGGGGAGGATAAAATGGGGGGAGGGTCTTCTTAGTCTTGAGCCCCCCTCCTTTTGCATTGGAAGCCCCTCTTTTTTTTCCCGGCTCCTCTTCCTCCCCATGCTGGTTTTTGCAGCCTTTTGCAAAGCTCCAGCCAAGAGGAACTGCAACTCCCAGCCTCCTCGGAGGCCATTTCGGGAGCGACGCGGCGCAGGGCGGTTGCATGCTGGGAAATGTAGGCAGCTCCCTTCTTTGCCCAAGCCAAGCCTGGGCACGCGCCTCTCGGCTTGGTTCAGGCGGGCAGGGCTTTGCAGCGCGGTGCATCTTGGGAAGGGTAGTTTTTTTTGGGGGCTAGGCCTTACAGCTGACCCTGGAATTGGGATCTCAATTCAAACTGACCCTGGATTGGGATTAGCGGCTTGTTGCCTAACCCTCTCCGCCCGCTCAACCTCGGATCTTGCTAAGTTTCCCGGAACGTGGCTTAACCTTCGGCGTCTCCCGGGGAAGCCAGATGGCGAGCAACCCGGCTTGCAACTCCTTGGTTACTCCTACTGGATGTTTTTAATCTCAGTTATGTATTGTAGTTTAAATACTGGCAAATCAGGGTTGCCCATAAACCCTAGATACATCGGACGTTTTTTTTTTAAGCCGTGGTTTGTGGCTGCTGCTTTCGACATCATTGGTCATCCAGATGTGATCGTCAAAACTGACTTGGGTTTATTTCAGGGGTTTACCAGCCCCTTTAAGATGGGTGGACTTCAGCTCCCAGAATTCCCCAGGCTTGGGGAATTCTGGGAGCTGAAGTCCGCCCGTCTTAAATGGGCCACGCTTGGAAAGCCCTGCTGTATGATAACTCACAACTGGACCCAGCCAGCTGTTTTTGTTTTGTGGTGGTGGTCTTGTTTTTCTCTGCCATCGTTCGTAAGGAAACCATATAAGGATCTTGAAAGGGAATGTGAACAGGAATGCCAATGCGTTACGGGACACGGGGGAATGACGTAGGATCGCCTTCACTGTCCCCAGAGACATTACATCGGAAGGGGCCATGGGAGATATGGAGAAAGGGCCAAACCAATTGAATAATAAATTGGAAAAAAAATAAAAGTAATCCATGAAGGCCAGACAGGGACAGCTAAAAGGGGCTGAATATAGGGGTGGGGGGCATAAAATCTGGATTCAGGAGCTTCAGAGAACAAACGAGCTCAAAACCTTCTCCAAGATGGCGATTAGGGCTTTTAATTATATAAGTATAAAGCCTACGGCATAGGGCACACGGCTACAAGGAGCATATAATGTTTATGGCATGCATAGGATGGAAAGATGCGAGCAGTTTTCCAAGGGGTGAGGAACTCAAGACGTTATGTGTGAGTTGCAGGTTGCGTTTTGAAATGACGTTGCTTCTCGAGATTGAAATCAGGGTCCTATGTATTAATACCATCTTTTAACAACCTCGTAATCCCTTGTGGGGTGGAGCCTGGGCAACTGAACGGAGCTCGGTGTTTACTGGCCAGATGCCTTTCCTATCACCAATGCGGAGTTTTGTTCAGCAGATATATTCTCATCGTGGCCAGAGAGAGGAATATCTGCCTCTACCTAGGATCGAACTCCCAGCCTCCTGATTTTGGGGTGAGAGCTCCATCTCTAGGCCACCGCACCACTCTGGTCTTATTTTTAATAGCTAGGCCATTTATCCAATTTAATTTAATTTATCGCATTTCTATGCCGCCCAACTCCCGAGGGACAATTAAGGGCAGCGTTCGTTAGTTGGAGGAAAATCTGCTTTTTCTCCCGGTTGTCCTCGATTTACGACCCAAACTTGAGTCCAAAATTTCTGCTGCTGAGGGAGACGCTTATTCACGGAGCGTTGCCCCCCTTTATGACTCAATTGTTAAACGAATCACAGCAAATCTTCAGTTAGTAACACGGCTGTAAAGAGAATCCGACTTCTCCATTGACTTTGCTCGTCAGAAGGTCGCAAAAGAGGATTGCGTGGCCCCCGGGAAGCTGCAACCGTCATAAATACGAATCATCAGCCAAGCATCTGAATTTTGATCTAGGGACACCGCAACTGTCATAAATAGGAGTTGGTTGCCAAATACTTGAATTGAACTCTAGCAGTCATAAGTATGAAAAACGTCCTAAGTCTTTTTTTTTTTCAATGTGTTGTGACTTCAAACAGTTGCTAAACGAATCGTTGTAAGTCAAGGACTGCCTGTCCTGGCATTGAAACCTGCTAATATTTTCTTTCCGGGAATCTGGATGTCCGTTAATCTGGGTGGATTAGGGCTAATCTGTCTTGTCTTCCCGGCAGGAGAATGACTGGACGCCATCCGGCTCCAACTCCCCGCTGCGTCCGGAGAGCGTGGTGGACAGCGACGGCTGGGAATCCACGCAGTCGGACCTGCACACCATCGAGACCTTCGTCAAGAAGGCCAAATCGTCGAAGAAGAAAGCGGCATTCCGGCGCCTGAAATCCGACAGCTCCTTGCTGGAGAAGATGAAGCTCAAGGACTCCCTTTTCGACTTAGACCCAGTGGGGAAGCAGCCGCCCCCGTTAGCCGGGCCCAAAGTCGCCACCGACAAGAAGAAGGACAAGCGGAACCGAAAGCCGCCTTGGAAGCCGGGGCCGCCAAGCGGAACCGGAGCGACTCGGTGGGCGAGAAACGCTCGCGCATCAAAAAGAGCAAGAAGCGGAAGTTGAAACGGTCGGAGCGCGGCGAAAAGCAGAAGCACAAAGCCTCCGTGAGCGAGACGGACTCGGAAGAGGAGGAGGAGGAGGAGGAGGAAGAAGAGGAGGAGGACGGGGCGGGTCCTCTGCGGCCGGGCGGGGAGGAGGGGGCGGGGGCGGCCACGGCACGGGTCTCGGTCCAGGCGCCGCCAGAGCTGCTGGCCACCACTTTCCCCATTAAGCTGGAGGACACGGAAGGGAAGGAGGGAATCAGCACGGAGACCAGCCAGGACGGGGAAGGGAGCTCCAGCGAAGGCGAAATGAGGGTCATGGACGAGGACATCATGGTGGAATCAGGTGAGATGAGAGACACCCCCCCCCCCCCTTTCCTCGAGGGTTAGGATTCACCTGTTGGGACTCGTCAAGGGCGATTGCCTTTCCTGATCGGGACTCGTCAAGGGCGATTGCCCGTATCCCGATCTCTCTTAACATTGGCCGAACGATCATTTTTGAGTTTAGTGGTTTAGGGACCAAGTTAAAAACTGAGAGACCGGGAGTTCTAGTGCTGCCTTAGCCACAAAAGCCGGCTGGGTAACTTTGGGCAAGTCACTAGGAAATTGGGGAGTTCTAGTCCCACTTTAGGCATGAAAACCAGGTGAGTGACTTTGGGCCAATCACTAGGAGACTGGAAGTTCTAGTCCCACTTTAGGCATGACACCCAGCTGAGTGAATTTGGGCCAATCGCCAGGAGACGGGAGTTCTAGTCCCACCTTAAAAACCAGTCACTCTCTCTCAGCCCAACCTACCTTACAAGATTGTTCTTGTGGAGAGAATAGGAGGAGGAGAAGGAAGGATTAGGTTTATTTGCCACCTTAAATTATTTATAAAGTAATAAAAGGCAGGACAAAATTCTAATTCAATAAATAGTTATGGGCGCAATTACAAAAGGCTGAACTCTACCCTAGGCCGTGTGAGTTTCGGTGTGTTTTAGATTCATATCGTGCCGAATGACAGACGAAAGATCCTGAACTGCTTCAAACCAAGCTTTGTGTAAACTGGGTTAGCATCCCAGCCTCATGCGGACACGAAATGGGACCCCACGTTGAACAGTCCCCCATTATGTAGCAGCCAAGTCCGTTTCCCGCTTGGAGGCCCGTTCATTCAGGATCCAGTTGCCTAAATCCCGCCATATTTGAGATTTTTATTTTTTTAAAAAAAAATTGGCTCCTTATCCCAAAGTTGTGGGAAATTACGGCCCATTTATGCCTTTGCGGACTTCAACTCCCATGCTGGTTCAGGAATTCTGGGAGTGGAAGTCCACAAGTCACGAAAGGTTCTTCCCTTCTAACCCTTTCCAAGATCGGTACGACTTTTATTTAGCTATCGGTTAAAATTATATCCTCCTTCAGGGCATCAAGCGACTCTGGGACGGTTGACAGAGCAATTTTCCTTACTATTGTCAGATTTGTGGGAGATTTTTGAATCAATTATGGGCCAATTCCAAGTACGTTCCTTAGCACCCACGCATCATCCTTCCAAATTGTGTAGGTAGATTGAGTTGTGTAGTTTTTTTGAATGCTCAGAAAGGATTAAGGTGTTAAAACATGGCTGGAAAAATCTCCCGACACCTGTTCTTTGGCATCTCCAGTGTTATTGTTATTGTTTTGAAACGTTGAGAGTCTTAAAACTTAAGAACCAAAAGCTAAAGTGGATCATTTATACCACAAGAAGAGCCCAAATTTCTGCTGGCCAGCAAGACTGTTGTTAAGTGAATTTTGCCCCATTTTACCACCTTTCCTGCCACCGTCATTAAATGAATCACTACAGTTGTTAAATGACCAACACGGTTGTTAAGGGAATCTGGCTTCCCCGTGGACTTTGCTTGTCAGCAGTTTGCAAAACGGGATCGATTGACACTGCCAACAGTCATAAGTACCTGCCAGTTGCCAAGCCTCTGAATTTTAATTACCTGACCACGGGGATGGTATGTAAGAGTTGTAAGGGTGAAAAAAACGGCCGTAAGTCCCTTTTTCCAGTGCCATTGTAACTTTGAACAGTCACTCAACGAAATGTTGTAAGTCAAGGACCGTATTGTTGAAGCATGGAAGGAGGAGGGGGGCTATTCCGTGTTATTGTTTCTATATTGGGTTTGTATTCCTGTTTTTTGTTTGTTTTTATTAAATTTATATACCGCCCTACTCCCGAAGGACTCAGGGCGGTGAACAGGCACAAAATAAAATACATAGATACAAAAGTTAGAAACATAATTAAAACCAGATTAAATAATTTAGCCCGAGACAATTAAAAATCCGAATAATTTAAAACAGATTAAAATTTCGATTTAAAAGAATTTTAAAACGGGGGAGAAAATTAGGCCAGGCTGGCTTGCTGGAACAGGAGAATCTTAAGAGCACGGCGGAAAGTGCGCAGATCCGGGATCCTCCGTATCTCTGGGGGGAGCTCGTTCCAGATAGTGGGTGCCCCCCACAGAGAAGGCCCTCCCCCTGGGGGCCGCCAGTCGACATTGACATTGTAAACTGCCCATAAGGCCTTGGAGGTCTTCTAGTCCAACCCTTTGGCTCAAGCAGGAAACTTTATACCATTTCACACAAAAACGGTTGTCCAGTCACTTGAGAGCGAGATAGCCGGGCAAATAACACATTGAATGTCTCTGTGCTCCTTTACGGGTGGTCTCTTTCTCAACGCCCGCCCCCCCTTTGCTTTTCCAGGCGACGACTCGTGGGACCTCATCACCTGCTACTGCCAGAAGCCATTCGCGGGCGGCCCATGATCGAGTGCAACCAGTGCGGCACCTGGATCCACCTCTCCTGCGCCAAGATCAAGAAGACCAACGTTCCCGACATTTTCTTTTGCCAGAAATGCAAAGAAACCTCGCGGAAGCAGGCGCTGCTGGCCCCTCAGCCCCCCACGGCTCTCAGCGCAACAGTCCCCCCAGCGTCGCGGGCAGGCGGGGGGGAGCCCTAGCACAGGAGGGGGCCGTGGCTCTCGGTCGGGCTTTCGTCCCGCAGAGGAAACAAAAAAAACAACAACACCCAAGACCGTGGACGGAGCGGAGAGAGAGAGAGAAAGAGAGGGGAGAGGGGGGCCTGCTCTGGATTGGGGTCCCCTTTGAACGTCGGGGCCCGAAGACGAGGCGCCAGGCCAGCGGAAGTGGCGACGACGACTCCGGCGTTTATTAAAAAAATTGGCCGATCCCGGCCAGGCTGCAGCCGGCCCTTCTGGCCTCAACCCACCCCCCCTCTCTCTCCTGCCCGTGGGCTCGATCGGGCGTTCAGGCGATCGGGAAAGTCCCCTTGTCCACTCTTGGGCCGCCGGCTGTAAGGACAGCCGGGGGGGGAGGACGGGGGACGATGACAACGGATGGTTTCCTTTTGGACTCTTCCTCTTCCTCTTTGGTCCTGCTCCATCTTTTTCTTCTTCTCCTTCTCTGTAAATAGAAGACAAAAAGGTTTTGTTGTTTTTTGTCCGTTCCCCCCCCCCTTCTTTTCCTGGTTTCGTTTCCCCCGGCACGGTCGGTGTTTCTCGGTTGGGAAGGTTTTTCTGATTTTTTTGGACACGTCCGAACCTCGGTTGATTTCGGCCCAGGGTCTGAGAGGCAAAAGAGGGACACAAACACACCGATTTCTTTGGTTGTGCTTCGAAGAGGGGCACAGTTTGACTTTGTCCCCATTCGTATTGAGACTTTTGAACTGGCAGTCTCCAAATGGGGGCCCTTTGAAGACTTGCGGACTCCAATCCCAGAATTCCCCAGCTGGGGAATTCTGGGAGTTGGAGTCCGCAAGTCTTCAAAGGGCCCCCATTTGGAGACACCCCCCCAGTTTAAACCAATGAGGAGAGGAGGGGGGGTTCTTTCGTGTCCCCCCGCCACACCCCATGTTGACCCCCTTTGGACCTTCTGAGGCCGGGCAGGGACGAGAGATGCCTGACCAGTTGTGGGGGGGGGGAGAGAGAAAGGCTGGGACAGGCCCATCTCTTCCCCCCCTCCCTTTTGTTTTAATATTTGCAGAGGTGTACATGGCAGAGTTTTCGACTGTAAATAAAGAGACGTAGAACCTTTGGCAGTTTCTACAGCAGCCTCGGCTCTTCATTCATACTTTTATTTTTATTTTATTTTTTTTGTGTGTGGGGGGGAGAAGCAGGTAGACTGCCCCAGCGAGGGAGGCTCACTTCCGCCCGCGCAAGCGCCCTCGGAGCAGCGCTACACATGGATTTCCGGCCGCGTGACGCCGAATCCGGCGCCCACTTCCGGCAGTGGCTCGGCCACGTGACGCTCCTCGAGCGAGAGGGCGGTTGGACGTCCATTCTGGGCGTGCCCCTGCGTGATGACGCAGGAGGGTGGAGTGGCGCATGCGCGCTAGAGGGAAAAGGGATGCTCTCGAGGGCGGAGTCGATGTGACTCATGCGCCCCGAAGGGAGGGCAAAGGGATTCCTGTGGAGGAGGGCGGAGCCGTGTATTTGACGCATGCGCGCCGAGAGATGGGTGTAGGGCGACTCTCCGGGGCGGTCTGCTGCCTGAACGCATGCGCGCCGGTGGGTGGGTAGGAGGGCGGGCGAAGAGATGCCTCTCGAGGGCGGAGCCATGTAATTGACGCATGCGCACAGCGTGAGGGCTGTAGGAGGACCCTCCGGGGCGGAGTGTTAGGGACGCATGCGCGCGGGAAGGAGGGAAGGCGAAAGTGACGCCTATGAGGCATGCGCGCTATTGGGCGGCGGGGGGGGGAGGATTCTCGGGGGCGGAGTTCCCAATGTGACGCGTGCGCGCTAAAGGGAGGGAAAAAGCCGTCTTCACCACGCATGCGCTCTTTGGGCGGAGTCGCGCGAGACGATTTGGCCAGTCACTCGTGCGCCGTTCGGGAGGGAGGCGTGGCCGTGCGTGATGACGTCGTGACGCACGGGAGGGAGGGAGGGAAGGAAGGAGGGAGGCGGGCTGCCGCTGTTTCTCCGCCGCCGCCGCCGCCGCGCGACCCGTGAGGCCCCCCCCCCCCCCCCCCCCCCGGGCCCCCCCCCCCCCCCCCGGGGCGGCCATGGCGCGGGCGGGCGGCCCCCCCCCGTCGGGCGAGACGAAGGTGATCTACCACCTGGACGAGGAGGAGACGCCCTACCTGGTCAAGATCGCCGTGCCGGCCGAACGCCTCACCCTCGGCCACGTCAAGGCCGCCCTGGCCAGGCCCGGCGCCAAGTACTTCTTCAAGAGCATGGACCAGGACTTCGGGTGCGGCCCTCCTCCGCCCCCCGCCCCTTTTCCCACGGGGGGACCGTCTCCTGGACCTCGAGGGGGCCCCTCTTGTGGGGGGGGGGGAGGGGGAGGAGGCCCGGCTTTCCCGAGCGGGGAGGGGAGGGGTTCGTAGGCGCCCTCCACCCCCAAACCCCTCCCCCACGCGGGGGCCCGTCTGCTGGACCTCGAGGGGGGACCCCTCTTGGGGGGAGGGGGGAGGAGACTCCCTTTTCTGCCTCTCTGGAGGAGGGAGGGGCCCCTGCCCCCTCCTCCCCCCCACCAAGAGCACGGGGGGGGAGGCAAGAGACCCGAGTGCCATGGGCCCGTCTGCTGGACCTCGAGGGGCCCTTCTGGTGGGAGAATGGAAGGAGACTTTCTCTTTCTGGAGGAGGGAGGGGCCCCTGCCCCCTCCCCCCAAGGGGGGAAAGACACCTATGGGCCCGTCTACTGGACCTCGAGGGAGGAAAGGACAGCCCTGCTTTCTGCCTCCCTCTCTCTCTCGAAAGTGGGGGGCATTTCCTTGGAGCCTCTTGGGAGGCCGTGAATCTCTCCCCCCAAGGGGAGAAGTGGGGGGCATGAGACCTCAGGGGCCCCCTTTCTCTGGAGAGTGGGGGGGGAGCTTGGGGGTCGTGGGCTCCTGAGAGGTTATGGGGAGCCATGGACCCCTCCCCCAAAGAGATCAAGGAGAGATTAAGAGCCCACCCTACCCCAGGCCCATCTCCTGGACCTTGAGAGGACCCTCGTGGCAGGATGAGGCCCTGCTTTACAAAGTGGGGCGGGTGATCATAGCCACCTATTTACCCTCCGGCACACACACATTTGAGGGTGAAAGCCCCTCCCCTATGGACCCGTCTTCTGGTCCTTGAAGGGACCCCCATGGGGCCGGAGATGAGACCCTCTTTTCTGCCTCTCAGGAGGAGGGGGGAATTGATGGGCGTCCCTGAGTACCTATGGGGACCCCTGGAAAGAGATCATTAGGCGGGCAAGAGCCCCCGTGGGCCCGTCTTCTGGACCTCAAGGTGCCCCAGCATCCTGTTCCTTGTCTGGGCAGGGAGGGAGGGGCTTTTCCACCCCCCACTCTCCCACTGACCCCCTCCCTCCCTTTGCAGGGTGGTGAAGGAGGAGATCAGGGACGACAACGCCCCCCTGCCCTGCTTCAACGGAAGAGTCGTCTCCTGGGTACGCAAGCTCCTCTGCCCTTCCGCCCGGGATGATGGCCTCTGGGACTCTGCAGCAGAGAGCCTTCTGGGAGTCGGAGTCTGGGATTACGGTTTTAGGGGCTTATTAGGGGGTGGGATTGTCTATGCCGGGAAGAAGAATGGATGGGGAGGGGCTCAGCCTCTCAGCTCAGACGGAGGCAGGGAGGGGAAGAACCAGATGGAACCTTCACCCCACTCTCTCTCCCCCCCTTTCCCCCCCCAGCTGGTGTCTTCGGAGGTCCCCCCACCCGAGCCGCCACCCCCTCCCCCCGCTCCCGTAGAGGTCCGTCCGGAGCCTTCCCCCCCACCTCCTCCTCTTCCTCCGTTGCCCGTGGAGAGGACCAGCGGCATCGGTGACTCTCGTCCTCCTTCCTTCCAGTGAGTAGGCGTGACTGTGCGTGTTTGTTTCTCTCTACATTGTGTGATTAAAAAGGGGGACCAACCCAGCCTAGGACTGGGGAGAAGTTCGGTAGTAATTTGGGGGGGGTCCTCTTAGGGTAACGGAAGGAAAGCTCAGTCTAACTTTTTTTCAGAAGCAGCTTTTGGCTTTATGGTATTTATTTACTAATTAGGTTTTTTATCCTGCATGTATTAGTTTATAAGGAACTCCAGGTGTGGCGATCGTATTTAAGGCTCCTTCCTTTCATTTTCTCCCCCCAAAAAACCCCAGCCGGCTTTCATGCCTAAGGCAGGACTAGAAATCACCCTCTCCTGGTGATTGGTTTAAATATGCCCCTTCTGCTTTTATGCCTAAAGTGGGACTAGAACTCACCGTCTCCTGGTGATTGGCCCAAAGTCACCCAGCTGCCTTTCATGCCTAAGGTGGGACTAGAACTCACTGGCATCTGGTGGTTTTCCCAAAGTCACCCAGCTGCCTATAGCGGGACTAGAACTCACGGTCTCCCGGTTTCTGCACCAGCACCTTCACCCCTATACCCACCTGGTTTTCTTCGCAGCCCAAACCTCTCGGGCAGCTGCGAGAACTTGGACCACGAAACCGAGACCGAGTCCGTCGTGTCGCTGCGGAGAGACCGGCCACGTCGCAGGGAGAGCACAGAGCACGGAGGTGACCACCCCTCCCTCCCCTCCGAAAGCTTCGTGGGCCTTTCCCGGCGGGGAGGAGGGAAGGCGGGCGACCTCAATCCTGGCGGGTGGATCGCTCTTGACGCCCTCTCCCCCTTTCCGACTCAGGCGGGCACCGGATAAACGGACAATCCCGTCTGGAGCGCCACTTGGCCGGGTACGAGAGTTCCTCCACGCTGCTCACCAGCGAGCTGGAGACCACCAGCCTCTGCGACTCAGATGACGACGACGCCATGAGCCGGTGAGAGCCGGGAAGCAGAAAACTTCCCGTCCCGCCAACCCTCCTTCCTCTGGGGTGGAGAGATGCACGGAAGCGGGGCTGCTCTCTGGGACTCGTCTTGAGAGTCCCTGCCTTGGCTCTGTTGTCTTCCCATTGGCCCACCCAACCCAAGGGTCATAACCCCGGGCCCCATCGGGCAGGGTATTCCGGCTGGCGAGATCCCGGAGGAGGACCTACCCTGCTGCTGCTCCTGCCCTTTAGAACGTCCCCTGCCCCACCCCCATGTGAGGTGGGTCCCAGCCCTGCCCACCTTCCGCGAGAACCTAAAAAACCTGGCTTGTGCCTTCCAAGTGAAAGGATTTCACCTTAAGGGGTGGTTAGACTATAGAACATCAGAGTCCGAAGGGACCTTGGAGGTCTTCCAGTCCATCCCCTCCTCAAGCAGGGGAACTCTAGATCATCCCTGGCAAACGGCTGTCGAATCTCTTCTTTAAAAATCTCCACTGTTGGAGCACCCACAATTTCTGGTGGCAAGCAGTTCCACTGGTTGATTGTTCTCACTGTCAGGAAGTTTCTCCTTAGTTCCAGGTTGCTTCTCTCCTTGATGAGTTTCCACCCGTTGCTTCTTCTCCTGCCTTCAGGTGCTTTGGAGAATAGGAGGATTTCCCCCCCCCACTCCCTCTCTTTGGGGCAGCCCCTCGAATACTGGAATCCTGCTATCCCCCGTTCCCCCCTGGTCCTTCTGGACAGGTTGATTGATTAATAACAGAGCCCACCTCCCCGCCCCCCTGCTCATCCTGCTCCCTCCCTCCCCAAGTTTTACTTCGGGCTGAATTGTACATATCTTTATAGTATTTTGTTTATAGTTTTTCTTTACAAGTGGCCCTTAATTTAGAACCATTTCTTTAGTGGCAGTTTGAAGTTACGATGGCCCTGAAAACAGTAACACGCTTAGGATGGTCGCATGATCCAAATTCAGACACTTGGCAACTGACTCTTATTTATGACCATG